TCCACCATAACTTCGTCATGCGGTCCTTCATCGCTCCCTCTTGCGTGCCCACCAGGCACCGACCTCCAAACACTCTCCCCAACTCGTACCATTCTCCCTCATGAGGTCGTTCATCATCTTGCCTAGCCAGCCGTCCCATTCGTCCTGGCTCTTGCCGCTGACCTCGCGCAAGATCGGCTCCAGGCTCTGGATCTGCTGTACGACGGTCATCAAGGCCGTGCGGCGGAGCGCCGCCTGGGCCTCGGTCAACGTCTTCTTCTGCTCGTCCGGTTTGTCTTTGCCCTTGCCCTTGCCAGAGTTGATGAACGACTTGCCGTCCTTGGTCACGACACCGCCGACGCCCTCGCGCTCCCAGCGAACTTCAGAAAGTGGGATCGCCAGGCGCTTGCTTTGTATGTCAGTCAGCTCCTCGGATTCCTGGATGAGCATAGGACCGATGAGAGTGCAAGGCACAGGACTCAGATTGCGGGACTCGAGTGCACGGTGAACCCAACTGTTGTACTCGACGAGGAAGTTGTTCAGCGGCGCGCTCAAAGGGGTCTTTGCCGAAATGGGATACGCGCCGAGCGAGGCGACGGTGGCGGTGTCTTCGGTGTTGCCAGACTGTGGCGCGGCGTGGGGCCGCAACATGCGGATCTGGTGGTCGCTATCCCAGAATTCCACAGTGCCACCAGGGCGAAGAATGCGATGATATTCTTCAATGGCGTTCTGCAGTGCGTGCGGCGACGTCACAACCAGACTCAGATCCTTGACCATGACCAAGTCGAATTCGCCATCGGCAAACGGCCACGGAAAGTTGCGAATGTCGTGCTGCATGAATCGCCATTTCATGTCGCGAGATACGTCCCCCGCATGCTGCCCCATTGGGCCAATGTCCATGCCGGTGAAGTGGATATCTGGGTGGCCTCGTTGCGCGAAATACCGGTGACACGACTGACTCCAGAATCCGGAACCGCAGGCGACTTCGAGGACACGACCAGGCGGCTTGCTAGCAAATGCTGTGGAGCAGATTGGCGAGCCAAACAACTGGATGAGCAGCAGTGTGCGCAATGACTGGCGATGGATCTCGCTCAGGTCAACAGGCAAGGGGTATGCTAATGACGGATCTGACAGATATGTGCGGCCATTGCGCAAGCAGTAAGGGCGAGAGGCATCGAACGAGTTTGTCGTGGGGTCGGAGGACGTCATTGTGCGGGTCGACATGGAGGCGGTTGAAGGAGCCGCCGACGAAAGACTGTCGGTACGGGAAAAAGGAATTGCACCGGCCTTGCCGGCAGTGAGATGACGGCCCGATGTGTCCGTGTCGACGAGCATGGCGACATGTTTTAGCTCATTCGGAGTGAGACCGATGTGAGATGGTGTAGGCGGTACAAGCGGGTGTCTCGCGTAGGAGCTTAAGGTGCCGCTTTCCTTGCGAAGGCGCGCCGGCACCCGGATGCGAGTGCGGTCGGCACCAGCGCGTGTCTCTTGTAGCGAGTGGTGATGCTTGTGCTTCTTTGGAGACGCTGGCGAGGTAAGATCGCGCGGGTCGATGGGCGACGCAGTCGAGAGGGTCGTTGACGTGGGTGTGAGCGAGGTCTCGTGCGAGGAGCGTGACGCCGAGGACGATGACGATGTGCGGATGTGCTTGAGACGGGTTGCGGGGTGGTGGTGGTGGTGCTGCTGCTGCTGCTGTCCAAAGTGAGAACTGTTTGATGATGGTTGGCGCGACGGTATGCGCGAAGAATCCGCCGGGTTGGCCTTTGAGAAGAAGGACGAAGAAGAGGAAGACGGGGTAGGTGGTGCGGCGGCGGCGTGGGCGGCAGCGGGGGGTTTTGTTGATGTTGTTGACAGAGTTGTAGTGGCAGATGCAGGAGTAGTAGTGGTAGTAGTGGTGGTGGTAGTGGTATCTGTAGTTGCAGCACTAGCACCAACCGCCGTGTGTGGTTGTTGTTGTTGTTTGCTCTTGTTTGTCAAGGTTGCAGTCGCAGTCTTTGGCCTGGTCGACTCGATGCGAGAAAGAATGGGAGGGACGGGGGCGAAGCTGGTGTACATGTATTGGGACATGTTTGCAGAATCTTCCGCATCCACGAGCGCTTCGTCAGGAGGAGCGGCGGATTTCTGGGGCCCTTGGGCTTGGGACCCGGTTGTGCGTGTGGTTGTGGCTCTGGTCAGTTGGGTCAGTCGGGTCCTCTCTTCGTGTCTTGGATCCTCATGTCTGCCCTGCCCTCTCTGGGGCCGGGAGGACGACAATGAGACCCAACTCGCAGGTGGGAGCTCCAGCTCCAATGGACGGGGGGGGGGAGGGGGCAGAGGGGTGGAGGGGGGTTGTTTGGGGATCCGCAAACTGCGTGTGGATTGTGGGAGAGAGATAGAGAGACGAGACTTTTTGGGAGTGGGAGCAGTGGAAAGGAGGCACAGAGACTGAGAGTGAGAGAGTCGGGGTACTCCGTAGGAGGTAGGAGGAGGGGATTGGCGGCTGATTGTGCTTGCTTGCTCGTTTGCCTTGCAGCAGCAAGCAGCAGCAGCTTGCTTGCTTTCCTGGGTTTGGGTCTTTGGGGTGTGTTGAATTCAGTTCGGTTCCATTCCAGTTTCTGTTGCGACCTTGCAGCAGCTGGGGGGGAGATGATGGTGGATGTGATGTACCTGGTGGAAAGGGGGGAAGATCATGGATTGGAGGGGAGGGGGAGGGGTGTGTGAACGTGTATGTGTCTGTCTGTACACTATGAGTGTATCTGTCCGGTGGAGGGGAAGAGAAGCACCCGGGTGGGAAAGGAAGCGGAAGGGAACGGGGGAGGGGGGAGGGGGAGGAGGGAGAAACCAGGAAGGATATGTTTTTCTTTAATTTGGCATCGCCTCAAAGAGTCAATAGAACCGCCATGTACTTACAGAACGGTCGTTATTTTCGAGAGCAAAGAAACCAAGACGGATAGTCCTCGTGGCTCTGGTGGTGGCACAAGCAACACACTATCCATGGACTATTCCGTTACGGATACACTACCCGTACTCTCTCTTTCTCTCTCTCTCTCTCCCATGACTCTCGCGCAGTCTTGTTTTTCTCTCTTTGCTCTGTCTGTCTGTCTGTCTGTACACTTCAGATGCTCCGTAACGATACACCGTAAAGATACTCTCGACATACATAGCAGATGCAGAGTGGCAGACAAAACCAAAAGAACAAGGGTGCATGACTTAGCGTACTGGCCTGTACGTACCTTGCAGCAACACCAGCAGGGAGCCCCGGGGATGGGGTCAAGTACTGTATGTAGGAACAGGCAGGTAAAGTTGAGTTGGGCAAGGTACACACTGACACCCGGCCGCGGCGAGGCCCAGGGGTAGTGGGGGGTGGGGGGAAGAGAAATTGGAAAATGAGGGAAAATGGGAAAATGGAACGTGGGAATGGATAACGGAGATGGATGAGGAAGAGGAAGAGGAAGAGAGGGGGACCAAAGAGCAAGTCGGATTCTCTTCCGCGGTTCCAACTCCAGTTAAACAGGAAGAGAAAAAAAAAAAAAAAGAGTCCGTCAGGATGCAATGTATCCGTACCGATTCAGCATCCAGGATCCAGATGCAGACGGACCAAATAGACGAGCGACTTGCCGCGTTCCTTGGTCCTTGGACATTATTTCTCTGTCTTTCTCAGTGCTCTCATACACTCTCTCTTCCTCTCACACTCTCTCTGGCGCGACTACAAAGCGAAATACAGAGAGCAATGACGATGTGAGAGACAAAGAGAACCAAACTCGGACGTTGCACTGGCGCTTGCGTCGCCTCTGCTTCTTTTCCTTGGCCGTGTTCTTCGTCTTCGTCTGCCCGCTTCACACACACACATACCGGGCGGGAATCATCAAGAGAACTGAAAGAAACAAAAAACAAGATGAGGGGGCAAACTCACCACACGCACCACACAAACACCCACGCTGACCAGACGTAACTGGCTGCTGGAGCTTGCTGGGGAACCGAACAGGGTCCACCACAGGTTCGTTTGGCCGCCTTGTACCTTGCAGCAGCACCTTGCGTCGCTCGCTCGCCGTACGGAGGAGTGGGCGAGGTACTTTGGTTGTCTGCAGGTACCACGTCGCAGTCGCTGCCGTCGCAATAGCAGGGCGCCCAAGTGTCTCCCGTCCTTGGTCCGTTGCCAATGGAACCAAAGAAAGGGCACAGAGCAGTCAGTGTACAGAACCTATCCTGTTCTGACTGGGCGGCGGTCCTGGCGCTCCCGGCTTCGGTGACGGGAAGGGAAGGGAAGCACTGGACGCTAGTTGGATGCTGCTTACTGGCGGTTGTTAGTTGCTGAATGCTTCTTGGCCTGCTTGCCTTGTCGTCGGCGCGCTCTCGTTGTCTGCCACTTGTAGAGTGGTGCGCTGCTAGCTAACAACGTGCTAACCAATGCTGATGAGCTAGCACACAAGTCCACGAAGGTTTGTACTCCCGCCCGGCGCCGCGTCTCAAGTCGGCCCAGCTTGACAAGACTAAACACCAAGATGGGGTAGCTTCGCAGAGCTAGACCTCGGGCTATCTGATAAGCAAGAGTGCACGAGAACGGGAGCTCGTGTAGGTATGCCGGCACTGTCGCTTTACTATTCCGTGTGCCTTTTGATTATCGCGCAGGAACAACTCGGAGTTTGGGAGAGGTCTTTGCGCGGCAAACAACCCAGACTCGGGAATGTGGCCAGCCAGCAAGCGAGTAAGCAAGGCGAGGCAGCGCAGGGCAGACGCCGTCGACAGGCCTGTTGGGTATCCGCAACGGCAGGGGAAACCCGTTTGGACGGTACCAACGTTCCCCGGCCAGGGCAATGGAGGTAATAGCAAGGGCAATGCCTTTCTCTGGTCTCTAATTGGCCAGTGTCTTTCGTCTACTGTTGTGTGGGATTGTTGTTTGTGACCCCCCGACAAGGTGATCCACGTCGGAGGCTTCACCTCTGCGCCGCGTAGCCTGTGTCGGTGCGCCGTCCGTCTTGCCAATCGCAGTGCCAACCAAGACTAGCCTTATTCTGCCAGTGTCCGATTCCTCAATAACCCCGATGGATGACGGCACTTTGCACGTATCTGTCTGTGCCTGGCGTTCGTTGGATTTGCTTGGTTTGTTGTGGTGGTGTCTGTGCCTGTGTCGTCAAAGCTTCCCACCTGTTTCCCAAGCGGACTCGTCACTATTACTCCACGAATTTCCTCTTCAGCTTGCTAGCTCCGGCCTGACAGGAGCCACTAGGGCGGCAAGACTGGGGTTCGGTGAGAGCAATAACTAAAACCAAGCCAGCACTTGAGCAGCTCGAAACTTGGTTTGTTGGTCGACTGTCGCCCACGATGGCGTCAATGTCAAGGACGTAATGGATGGTTTCCCTGCTATTTCTCTCACGCTGACCACTCGGCGGCAATCCAGCAGCTGTTGAAGAACGAGTGTGGCTGCTCAAGTGGGCTTTTCCCACCCACCAACTTCCAAGGGGACGAGGCCAGCAAACGCCTCGCTCAGCCCCCGATCCAGCTCGTCGGGACGCCCGGTGCTGTAATTCTCCAACCCAAGCCCACTCAATTGTGTTTCTTTTCCCAGAGCTTCTTTGTTCGTGGGGCACTTGGTGCACTTGGCCCAACTCTGGCCCTGCCGTTCTTTTGTTCCAATGTCTCTGTCTCAAACTTCGGCTCTGTGCCGCCGGGTCTGCCTCTTTCGCACTTGAGACTCGATGACGGACTAGTCCAAGGCTTGACAGACAGATGGGAAAGCAGGTCCGACAATAACAGAGTCGGCCGGTCTGTGAAGTCAGTGGCCCTGGTTGATTTGTTGCTTGCCCTTTGCCGTTGACCCTTGCTGCGGTAAGCCAAGGATCTGAGAGACGCCTGCAAGTGCAAAAACCCCTTACTACGAGGAGCAGAACGGTGAAGGGGCTCAAGAGAGGGCACCGGTAACCAGGCCCCCGGTAGAGTGCAGTCAATCTATCGTATCCGTACGGTTGGCAGAAGACTGAAAGCTGAATGAGGGCGTGAACCTTGAATTTTCAAGCCAAGGTGATTTCTGACCGGCGAGGACGTGCGGGGCCTCGGTGACCAACAAGACGAAAAAAACAAGACGCTAGCCCCTGTTTTTTGACGTTTGGGTGCTTTGTGTCGAGTGTTGATCCTCTTGGTAATGGAGTGGACCGGGCCGCGCTGATTTCGGGTAGGTAATGGAGACTTGCTGGATAATCGCTCCTCTTTGTTCGAGTGTGTGCCCTTAGTCAGGCTATGTCTGGTAATCACGTATCCGTACTCCTTACGAGTAGAGTACGCAAAAACGGTACTTGGTAGGTATCAAAATCGTGGTGGCCACAGTTTGCGTCACTAGAATATGGCTGTTGCTGCCCGCTTCGCCGAGGATTCGGCGATTTGGCCCAAATATCTCGACAGTGTCCCGGCCGGATAGAGGATACCTCGTCCTGTTGGAGGAGCTCAGAAGGCACGCAAGAGTCAAGTACGCCGGAGCTTGCCCCGTCCTTCTAGAACCTGGACCAGGTTCTTTCTGAAATCTTGAGACGGCGGGATACCGGCCGCTTGTTCCCCGGTGGGGACGGGACTGGGGTCGCTGGAATGACGGATAACTGACGGGCCCTGGTTGGCTGGCTTGGATTTGCGCTTGAGTTGGATGGGAAATCGACCGAGCTGAACAAGAGTCGTGTTTGCCTCGTTGTCGCCTTGCCCCAAGGACCAACGCAGTGGCCGTTATTGAAAGAGAGGGCCAATGGCCGCTGAAGGACGCGATAGGACAATGCTGGTGGATTTAGATGTTGTGTCGCCTCGTTTCCGTCCGTTTGTTGTGAAGCTTCCGGCCGGTCTTTCCTCGCGGTAAATCCAGCAGAGGGTGCCCGTACGGTCAAGGTCCGGGCCCTTGTCTGAGCGACTGTAATGAGCCGGATCCCTTGTTTGGTGTTCCGTCGCTTCGCCCCGTCTCGCCTCGTCTCGGTTCCCGCAGACAAATGTCACCGAGGGGATAGATGGATCAAATTTCACCGCGGCGTCTTGTCGGCGATGGCCTGTGTTGGTTACGTACGTATATCGAATCCTGTCGAATGGCTGCAAGGTCTATTTTGCCGTGCCGCCTGTCTTGATTCGTCCCGTTCCGTGCGTGCAAGCTGACTCTGTCACTTGTGATTTGCGTAGCCACTGACTGGTGTTGTTTCCAGCTGGCAGTGCCACCCCGTGGCCCGTTGCTGATCCGAACTGGTCAGTGGTGTGCGCTTTTTCGTTGCGTGCCACAACGACGGAACGGTGCTATTATAAGACGACGGGCGATTGGTGATGACTAGCTGGGAGTCTGAGTCTGGCCAAGGGATCAAAAGCAGAATCTCGTGCTTGTCGGAGATAATGACGTTCCCCTCGATATGTCTTCTGGGGGAGAGTTCTAGAGCGTGGGGGGACCTTCCCTTCGTAGCCAGCTGGGCGATTTGTCTGCAGCAGATTGCTAGATTCCGCAGCAGCTGTCAATGGTGCGGTGCAGGCTGTCTGTCGCGTGTGCTGCGTCCTGCCTGTTGGGGTGCAGTGCCGATAGCGTAACGTGGTAGTGGGTGCGGCCTCGTTGCAACTTGTCCCCGTCCCGGTCGGTGGATTCCGCCCAGCACCGGCAACAGAATCCTCTGAACCTTCTTTTGCAGAATAGGTGTCTGGCGAGAAGATCGGCGGTTCAGAGGGAGAAACGAAGCAACGTGAATGAATTGTGACGAATGTTTCCGCTGGGTTTCCAGGCAGATTCTCCCCTTTGGGCTCACAAGCCTCCCGAACATGTACTGGGGGTTTGGTATGAAGGCAGGGCCAAGCTAGTTCAGGTCGATCGGGGCTTCTCCGAGAGTGCAGAGTCAAATTCGATGGGCGAATACTCGCACAGATGGCAAGTAATACTCCGTACGGAGGGGTAGGTTGCCAGCGTCGAGGCAGAATGATTGACTCAATTGAGTATCCGTATAGAGTCGCAGCCGTTGGGCCGTAGCGCTAATCCGCAGCTCGATGCCTGGTGTAATTGGGATCGCTGTCGTTCATCCGCAAAAGAAGATCAAACGAATTATGGATACCCGGTCGAGCGGTAGAGTCAGATCGTCGCCGTGTCTCAATTATCACATGAATGATGAAGACACTATCCCGACTGCCAGACTCCCAAGGCGGTGGGTGACGAAGACTGAGGACGGAAGTTTGCCCGTGTATTCGGAGGCTGTACGAAAAGAGCCAAGCAAGTAAATCAAATGCCGCGTCTGTTGCTCCAAATGGGATGGGTTGCCAAAGTCGGAGGATGGTATCTTCAGCGGCGGGTGAGCGATTTCGGCGCCCGAGACAGCATGCAGCCGCAGTGCAGAAGCCAGAACCCCAGGAATCGGAGTCTAGGTACCGGTAGCTGTGCCTGATTCGCTGGATGGCCGGTCGAGGTGAGGGAATTGCGCACACCGCGACTTTCGACTTTTAGCTTGGTTGCGAAGCCGAGAGAGGGGTTGGTGAATGTGCCGTTTCTCTCCCGCGAAATGTTCAAGAGACAGCCTTTGGATGATGTGAGGTTGAAATGACGAAGTTGCAGCTTGGAAACACATCGAAGCTTTGCCGTCCAAAGTGTCAGGGGCGCAGCGCAGGTACACAATGCCTGAAGCGTGGAAAGTGCAGGTCCAGCAGGTCTTTCCTCCGTCAACTCCGGGGCTCCTGCCAAGAATCGCCGTGTTAGTTGCCGTGTTCAAATGGGCAGGAAGCACCTGTCGGACGGAAGTTGCGACTCACCAGATTACCTAAGACAGGCAATATGCTCTCAACCTAAGGTTCTGTTCCTCCTGGTTGGATTGACTTCTTTTTCTTCTTCTTCTTCTTCTTCTTCTTTCTCAAGACACCAAGTCTTGTCGTCTGATGATCCAGCAGCAGTTGCTGGCCGACAGGTGCAAGTCTGGCGTTTGTATGGTGCACTCGTGGAGAGAAGAGCTGACAGGTTATCTATATAATACAACCTAAACCGGACAAACGGCACACGATCCATCCAATTCCTCAAGCAGAGTACCTAGCAGACCCAGCACATCAAATTCCCCCGATATCCGAAGAAAGGAAGCTCCAAGTCAAAAGCCCGGAGCAAGCCTATCAATCGGGGACCTCGATGATTCGTTTCTCCGCCGTGGTCCCGTGGCCATGTCCGATGCCTACATGACATAGAGGGGGGAGGGGCTCAGAAGTTGCGAACTTGCCCGCACATATTTGCACTTGCAGCTGCATGTTGCATATTGCATATTGCAAGGGCCCTTTTCTCTGCTCCCAGCTCCGTACGCGCCCGCCACCAATTCCCAATTCGGGCCTTGGCCGCCGTTCGGCACTGCCAGCCTGGTTTTATAGCAGCTCTCTCATTCCCATCGTTCGTGTGCAGGCTTTGCAGCAGCCAATCTCTCAAAGTCTAGGATAGGCAGCCGTTGGCCTCGACCCGGAGCTTTGCCCACCATCTGAGTATTGCGTGCCGTTGAGGACGCGTATGGGCGGAAGTGACAAGTGGGATACCGACTGTACTGCATGTCTGGCACCATGGCATGTGCTTCGTTGCCGTTTCGGTCTATGAGATGTTGGGATGAACACCAACGAGGGGCTACAAGAACTCCCACCCTTGGTCTATCAACTTCAACCCATGCTGACTTTGGTCTTTCAGCGGTCTTGCCTCGTATCTGTGAACTCCTTCGAATTTGAAAATGTTGCGATAACTCAGATAAGACGTTGTGGAGTCTAGAATGGCGTCAGAAGAGAACAAGGCCAAGATAACGAAACCGACCCGGACCGCACTTCCCCCGCATCCCACCGACCCTGGTCACTGAGTGGCTGGCTAAGATATTCGACAACGCCCAGCATGGACTAGTAAGCCCTCAGTGGCCATGTTCGAGACGGCTGACGAGGGCAAGGCGCTGAAGGCAGAAGGCATCCCATCCTGGTTGTCGAGTCTAGGCGTGTCCATGAGTCGCCAGCTGGTCTGAGCCGAGGCTCGTGGGAACCAGCTCTCTCGCCATTGTCTTCGCGCTTTCAGTCTCCGTCTGTCGCAGTTTGATAATGACAAGGTCGACTGGCCGCCGTCGAACATGGACAGGCGATCAAGGTCCAGGGCTTACCACCATTGAAATGAGCATCTAGCTTGTTATATCCGGCATCTGGCCGCTTTCCCCGGGCAGTTGTCCCGACTTTCCGGTTTGCCTCCGCGGCCGCTTATCAACGCCCTGTTGATCCTATGGTTTACCCCGTATCATCGCAGCACGTTGTATGATATGTGATGGCGCTCTGAACC